ACTGGAAGCAGAAATTTTAAAGCAAGCAACTAACAGAATTAAATTATCTAATAAAAATGTTTTTGAACAATACTCTTCAAAACTGATACGAAAGGGAAAAGGTTTAACTCTTTCATCCTAATATTTTCCACATGGAAAGTACTGTATCTAAAAGCCATCAGTACAGACCATTTCCTACCAATTTCCATTTGACCCATATACGCAAAGTAATGAACAGTAGAACAGGTATATATTAAAAATATAACTGGAAGGAAACACTCGTGTCTTTGCGTAGAATAGGATGTCAAAAGCCAGTTACAATCTCTTCCATATGTAAGTGCTTGTACTGAACCTAAACTGTTTCTACTCATTAAAAAAACACCACCACAAGTGGAGGATATTCTACCACGTCAGTAGTTCCCAAACCATTATCCATGGACCACAAGTCCACAGAGTCCTTCCTGATAATCTACAGAACAAGTATTTTGATCAAATAGTAGAGGGACTGGGCATACAAGAAAGTCCAACAGATGCACTTTCTAATGAAGTGGTCTGCAGAATTTAAAAGCTGAAGATCCAGTGCCATGTAGCAAATTTGGTAGTATAACAATTTGAAATGTATCTTCATATATATGGTTGTGCTTGTAATTCAAGCCTCAAGTTCCTAGAGCAGGGGTGGGCAATAATTTTCTATAGGGGGCCACTCCAAGAATTCGGTCAGGGACCACACTTTTCCATGATATTAATGCTGGAGGAGTAAAGTCCGGGTTGGAATTTGGGTACAGGAGGGAACTCTGGGTAGGGAAGTTAGTGTTTCAGTTGTTTAAATGAATAAACGATAAGCCTGGGTTTATTGGTTAATTCAAACAACTACATGCATACACACCCCTTGCTGTGTCTTAATTGGGGGGGAGGGGTGACGCTGGTGATCCTCCATGTGCTGGTTCCTGCAGAGGCAAGCAGCATGAGGGGAGGGGGGACAGGCAGGAGCTGGCACTGGGGTGGAGCCAGCTTAAAAGTTGGTTCCCCATGAGCACCAGATCCTGCGCAGCTGCCTCTCTATGAGAATAAGACGGGGGAGATGCAGGAAGCCAACTTTCAAGCCAGCTTCCTGCATGTACTGGCTCCTGTGGAGCTGTCTACCCTCCCTCCACTGCACTGCTGCCTCTTTATGAGAGGCAGTGGGGCGTGTGCAGGGGTAGGCGGGAGAGGATACCCGTGGGGACTCAACTTTTAAGACATCTCTCTGTACATGCTGGCTCTGTGGAGCCACCTGCTTCCCCCTTGCTGCCTTCCACATAGTGGACTCCTCATGAGGATCAATTCTGTGGCATCCCCAGCCCCACCCCACCCCCACCCCCATCCTCACACGTCGGGGAGCAGAGGGAAAGCTAAGCACCCTCTGTCCACAAGGAGCTCAGGCCCCCCACAGACAGGGGCTGCTGCTGTGAAGCAGCCTCTGTCCACCGCAAGCCTGGGCTTGCCGTAGACAGAGGCTGGGCTGGCCATTGGGAGTTCATGTGTTCCCCGTGGCAGGCAGGAGTTGGTCTGCACTGGGAGCTGATTTTTAAACTAGCTCTGCCTGCCACTGCGCTGCTGCCTCTGATACAGAGGAGGAGCATTTTAGCAACTGTGTGACTGCTAAAAATTGTTGTGGCTACACAATTACTAAAACTATATATAACATCCCTAGTACTGCGGTGCAGGAGGGGCAAGTGTGTGGGGGTTCTGAGAGGGAGGTTAGGTGCAGGAGAAGGTTTTGATTTGAGGAGGGGGTGGGGTGCCAGGTGAAGGCTCTGGCTGGGAGGCTCCTGCCTTCTGTGCCCTTGCATGTTGCTCAAAGCAGCCAGCTGTAAGAGTCATGTGCTCTCTGAACTAGGGATGTAAAATCCGGTTTCATTGGTTAACCGGTTAAATGTGATGTTTAAGCAGTTAACCGATTAAAGGGGAGGCAAGGGAAGCTGCTCCAGCCAGGCTGGAGAGGACTCCCGCCCGCCGCTGGGCTGGAGTAGTTCACCCCACCCACTGCTGCAGGCAGGGGCTGCTCTAGCCCAGCCACAGCAGCCCATCCCTGCAGTCCCCCCATCCTAGCATCCCAGGAGGAGCAGCCCCTGCCTCCAGGGTGTCGGCCCACTATAGATAGAGGCTGTTCCAGCTTGGATGCTGAAGCAGACCTTGCCTCCAGTGGGCCCTCTGCGTGGGCTGGAGCAGCTCCAGCCTCCACCAGTTAACCTTAACCAATAGGCCTCACCCAGTGAGACTTACCATTTAACCAGTTAAACTTTCACATCCCTACTTGCATGGTCCAGCCCTTCTGGGGAGTAGGGCATTGGGTCTCAATGTACTGCATATGCCCACAAGCACTGCCCTTGCAGTTCCTATTGGCAGGGTGGTTCTGGGGGCAGGGACATGCCTTAAGGGGCACATGCCACACAGAGACGCACACAGTAGCAGAGCAGCAGGCTGCTTTGAGCAGTGTGTGGGGACCTGACAGTCCCACTAGGTGGGATCCAAAGGTTTGAAAGGCCAAATGTGAACCACAGGCCATATTTTGCCTGCCCCTGTCCTACAATAACTCTTACACAGCCAAACTCATGCACAGTGAATATTTCAGTCCTTACAGTCAACTTTCTCCATTAGTTCTAGGGATGTAAAATTATGTTTAATTAACCAACCAGTTAAATGAGATGGATAGGAGGAGTGCTGTCCTTTTCTGGGCATCCTAGCATTCGGTGACTAAACGGTTAAACTCAGGTAGCTAGGAGATGTTGGCAGGGAGCCAGCAGAACCAATGGGAGAAGGTATTGAGATTTAAATTGAAAGGAACATTTCTTGCTTTTTTGTGAGAGAGAATTTAAGCCAGGAGATATTGGAACAAGATGAATTGAACCACCTACAAAGAATACTAGACATGAAAATGGACTGGACCTTGAAGCACAGATGTGTGAGTAAACAGGCAATGTCTATTTACATGCGAACAGGTTATTTTCTTTGTTTTGTTGTTTGGTTAAATGTCTGTGCTAAATCCATGTGCCATGCCCCCATACACTCTAAGCTGAATCCCAGGGATGAAATGTGTGTTTTAATTGGCTTTTTTCTCAGTTGCTTTAAAACACCTAGCAACCAAGTATGCTTTAGATCTTTTTGTTTAGTTAATAAAATAATCTTTTTAAGGCTATGATTTGATTCTTGTGTCATGAAAGGTAAAAGGAGGTCTGCGTATGCATGCCTAAGTCTGAGAGGTCAGCTATCAGTGATTATTGTTTGTTTTTTCAAGAACTTGGAAGAAGTTCCCAAGTGATTTCTTCCTGGGTTCAAGAAAGGGCTTCCCCCCCCCCTCACTTAGTGGTGGGCTGCTACCTCCGAAGGTCAGGGAATCTGTGACCTAGGAGAGCTTTTAAGCAGAAGCCTATAGAGACAAGGTATTTTTAAGGTCTGTTGAAGGCTCCCACCTTCTGCATTTGAAAGCCAGAGCCTGGAGCAGCCTTGACATGGTGGCAGTGCAGGTGGGATCATTCTGAACCAGGAACACAAACCTCGGGATTTTAAAATAACCCTTTTTTCCATTTGCTGTCTGTGGGGGAAAAGGGCACACAAAAAATTAAACCTGCACAGTCAAAGAGTTCAAACCAAACAGGTTTTTTTCCCCTAGCTTTCAGGGCAACTGGATAGCTAAGCTAGAGTAGGGCAGAGAAGCAGCCCAGTAGATGCATTTGCGGTCCAGCAAAGTACCCCTGGAGCAACCAACTTAAGCAATACGCCAAGCCAAAAATAGCTTCAGATCAGGGTGAGATGTCCATCTCCGGGCAAGACTCATACAACAAGGAGGGGGGAGGGAGAGACAGGAGACTGTCTCTGTGAGGCTGGGGGGCAGGAGCAGAGAGTGGCAGCCATGCCCCTCCGATACCACTGTCCTCAGGGTGGGAGAGTGTCTTTATGGCAGGCAGACTTCTAACTAAGGGCAAGATGGAGTTCTTCCTACAGAGGAAGCGTTTGGAAGTAGAGGAGAGGGAAAAGCAGAGCAGCTTTGAGCTGGAGAAAGCTGAAAAGCTGCCCTGGTCCAACTAATGCTCCTCAACCCAAGAAATACCCAGTGTACAAGGTAGGAGATGATGCAGAGGCCTTCTTAGTGAATTTTGAAAGGTCCTGTCTTGGGTACAACATCCCCAAAGACATGATGGAGCTGAGACTACAACTCAGTGGACCCTTAGCAGAAGTGGCAGTTGAAATAGGGGGAGACATGAATAATTATGAATTTTTTTAACAAGGGGCCAAAATTAGGATAGGGTTCACTCCCAAAAATGCTCGTCACTGTTTCAGAGCCCTAATGTGGAAACCAGATATGGCATTGCCCCAACATGTCTACCAGATGAACAAAAACTGGGACACATGCATATCAGGAGCAAATGCTAAGACTATGGAAGAGCTAGCTCTCCTGATGAGAATGGAAAAGTTCCTAGATGGTGTTCCTGAAGAGATCCAAAGATACATCCTAGATCAGTGGTTCCCATGAGCCAAATGGCTTGAGGTGACAGAGAAGAAAAAAAATGACACATCCGTGGTGATGAAAAAAAGGTTTGTTGTACTCTGGGGCCTTTAGTACAGGGTCAGATATAAGGGCAGCTTTAAGTTGCATAAAAGCTTCCGGAAACTTCCCAGTCCACTTTACTGCGTGTGGTTGCTTTTTTCTAGTCAAGTCTGCCAGTGGAGCAGCTATCTGACTGCAGTGCACTACAAATTGCCTGTAATATCCTGCTAAGCCTAAGAATGATTGGACTTGTTCTTGGACTTAGGGACAGGACAGTTTTGGATCTACTTTACCATGTACATGCAAGGTATTTTTCAGGTCTCTTGTGGGCCCCCACCTTCTGTACTCAAAGCATCAGAGTGAGGAACAGCGTTGACAACATTCTTTACAGTAAAAGAAACCGTAGGCTACGAAGATAAGAATTTAAGAGTTCCACTCTAGATTCTCACTGACAATTAAACTTTTGCTGACTAAATATATACTTTTGTAACAGATATTCATAGAACCTCTGAAGTTTTAATTCCAAAGGGGAAAAATGCACAGAACTCTTCCCCCCACCCCCTAAGTTCAAATTAGGGATGTAAAGGAGTAATCGATGACCCAATAAGCCTATGTTTAACAGAAAGTCGAATCGACTACTTGCATTCCCCCCCTCATCCGCCCTTGCCACCTCTGTATCAGGGGGAGCAGGGGGGAGGGAGTAGGAGCCAGTGCTGGGGAAGATCCAGCTTAAAAGCCAGTTCCCCACAACATGGTCTCCACAGTGCTGCCCGCCTCCCTTCGCACTGCTGCCTCAGAGGCAGGGGGGACAGAGACTGCTTTGCAGCTGCAGTCCCTGTGCACGGGGGTGGGTCCCACGGAAAGTTGGGCACCCTGTGGGGAGAGACTGCTGTCACAAAGCAGAGTGTCTGTGGCGACTCGGCTATGGGTAGAGGTTGCTTCGTGGCAACAGTCCCTGTCCATGGGGGGGTCCTAAATCCCCGCTGGGACCTCCCCCACGCACAGGGACTACTGCCAGCTGTGCAGGCAGCCTGGCTCAGATCCGGCTCACACTGGGTGTGGAACAAAACCCCACTGTGGCTCTGTAATTTAAAATGCAGTAGGAACCAAGGGGCAGCTTGCCCAGCTCTTACTGCCTTTTCAATTGCAGAGCTGCAGTGGGGTTTGGTCCTGCACCTGGCGCAAGCCAGAACTGAGACAAGCTGCCTATTGACTAATCAAGTAGTCGATAAATATTCTATTGATTACTCGATTATTGAAATACCCGCATTTTAACATCCCTAGTTCAAATTGCCACTTGGTCATCAACTCATGATTCAGACACCTTTTCATCTTCTGTCAACTCAAAGCTCTCCAAAAACTAACTAAAAAGCATTTACAGTCTAAACTGCTGCACAATATTTTTTACTCTTGCTAGAATTACTAACCTCAATGGATGTGTCAATGGGACTGAACAGCATTTGAACACCACGAAAGCAAGAAATGGGTACAAACGAATCATAGCCTCCCCCCTTCAACAATGGTGCAATAAGCATATTATTCTTGCACACAGATAAAAAGCAATGTGGCCACAAACTGCTTTAAAGCAGTGCATGCATGCAGTTAAGTCACATGCCCTTATCCACTCTTTTGCACTTTTAGGCCAAATTTAAGGCTCAGTATTCCCATTAAACCTGTAGTTTGTAAAACAGATTGCTACGTTTGTTCAACAGCTGATTTTACAAGACATGTATCGATACTCGTGGATCTCAGATGTACATGAGGGTAGAATCAAGCCCTTAAAATCTATTTCATATTGACTGGTCTGTTTATCACTTTTCTCTATTAACATTTTCCATTTGTTAGAAAGATTACCAATAGAAGTCTGACCTGTCTTTTTCTGTTAGTTCTGCAATAGTATCCGGCTCCTTCAAATCTGTATTTGTAACTGCAGAGAGTTTTTGTTCAACAGCCATTCGCAGAACTTTCTCCCTTTCTGTCATTGCAAAGGCTTTTTCCACTTCTTCTTGGGCAGCTTTAAGATTCTGTACTCAAAACAAACATGATGCATTGGACCATTGAAACAAAATGTTGACCAAGTTCTTCCATGCTACATTTCCCTTCCCAAAGTATGTTTTAACATCCTTAACATACTTTGCAGCTCTAGCACACCCTTCACTAAGATCTGCAAGTGTTCTATAAACATTAATAAATTAACCCTCAACATGCACCCATGAAGTATACAAGTTGCATTTTACAGATAAATAAAGTTAGGTATGAAGAAGTGAAGAGACTACAATGATCAGAAAAAAGCATGCAAATTGCGCTCAGAAATTTGTGTACTTTTTTCCGATAGCTTTTTCAAAAGAGGCTTTTCCAAAATTTGGCCCCCCTAAAAAAAGCGGAAGAGCAGACGCATTCCCTGGACACGGTGGATCCCCCCACAGGGACATTGCTAAGTCATTCCAACGGAGAATGCAATCCTAAAGCTCCTAACAATGCCTCAAAGCATCTCTTTTTTTCCCCAGAATGGGAGAGTACACCTTCAGAATATGTCAGGCACCATCAAGTATTCATCTTTTGAGAAATCTTTTCCCAGAGAAAGGAACCAATACCCATCCACAAAATCGCATACCCCCTGGACAAATTATACAAGTTCCAGGTTGTGATATGTTATCAATAGATTAATATTTATTTTTTGGAACTAGTTACATGCATCTCCAGCAAAGGGTGCTTAATATAAATGCATTTGAGTAATTCTGCCTTTCTTCTTGAAGAAAAAATATTTTTGTTTATATGGAGGGGGGGAGGGGAGAGGGATTCTATGGGTGTGTCTAGACTACAGGGTTTTGTTGACAAAAGTGGACTTTTGTCGACAAAACTATACCTGCGTCTACACTACCACCGAGTTGTCGACATAACGTCGACAGAACTTGGCAGTTTTGTCGACAGCGGTAAACCTCATTCTGCGAGGAATAACGCCTTTTGTTGACAGAGTTCTGTCAACAGAAGGGGTTATTGCATCTACACTATCCTTTGCATCTACACTCTCATGTCGACAAAGCGGCTTGCTTTGTCAACAGAACTGGATGTAGTCTAGACGCTCTTTGTCGACAGAAGCTTTGTCATCAGTATGTCGACAAAGCCTGTCAACAAAAGCCTGTAGTCTAGATGTACCCTATGAGAGCTCCCAACACCTGGCCACTCAACTGTGAGCACATATCCCAGAACAGGAGGTTTTAGGGTTAGCTGTGAACATCTTGGGAAGCCCCTTGTTAATCCTTCAGAATCATATTAATGACCAATATTCGGCAGCGGTAACCCACCACTGACAGAGGAATTCAAAAAAGTTTTGCTATGATACCTTCTCAGAGACACACAAATTAATGTACCACCACACTTCTACTCATGATCTGATCGAAAAGACAGAGAAGAGATAGTCAAAACCTGGCAGATGTCATTATCGAATTCTCACCAGCACCAATGCAGAAACTGGAGTGGAAGGTCAGCAAGCAGAATACAGGGAAGTACCCTCCATCCATCTTCCCAGGAAAGAGTATTGCAGATGACTTCTCACAACCCAGTCATATACTGAGCAGATACTTCAGAAGTCAGCATGTCAAACGCATACTGATATATAAAGGTTTCTAAACTCAGAGTTAGGAAATCTGTGGAATGGCATAATCTCTTGCAGTATGGTTAAATTTCCCTAACAAAGTAGAGATCTGTCACCCAAAGTATGGATATTACCAGCCTACATTGTAAGAAATGGACTCCCCACAGTCCCAATTAGGAGATAAAATTCCTTGTTCTAACATACCCAAAATCCACTAGAGAAGCAAGTTACTTCATACGGCTCAACCCATCTTCCACATTCCAAGATTCAATAACATTGGACAAAGTTTCCCCATTCTTGGCATTTATTGTATTTGTGTTCTCACTATTTTTACAATGAAGCTGAAACAGAAGCTCTGAAAGCAGCATTTAAGCAGGTCACAATGCTAAATATCTCTGCTGAAAGCAGATAGACGCTAGGGAGCTCTGCATGGCAAAGTCAATAACAAAAATCAATTACTCTTCAATATTGAAGACTTGCCTCTTCCAAAAGGTTTATTCTGCTGGTGAGAATTTCTTCCACTTGTTGTACTTTCTTCTGAGACTCTTCTTTCACCCTCTGAATTTCAGCATCACCGCCTTGAGCCAAGCTTTCAACCGCTTTACTGCAAAAAACAAGATGTAGAAATCTCAATGCTTATCGTTATACTGTCTGGAGTCTAAGGGACACTTGAGGATATTATGAATATTGATACTGTACAACTGCAATGAGTTATGCCAGATATGCCATGCAAGATATCTGAAAAACTATTATAATTTGGCATAGAAGATCATCTCAATTATGTGTTTGTATCACCTTTGTATTTTTGGTTATGGATATGTTCTCTGTCTGTATCACTAATTTGGGCTATGCTTCTGGGTGACTCCCAAACAGTTTGATAATGTACTGCCTAGCTTGCTTGGTGGCCCATCAGATATATGATTTGACCTTTGAGAGAAGGCAGGGGACTTTGACCTAGTGAGGCACATAGGGGTATGTCTATGGACAGAACTCTAAGGCTTCCAAACCATGTGGTGGGCAGCTTTAGTTTGGGACAAGCAATAAAAGCCATAAGTTAAAAGGAATATAAAGGCAGCTGCATCTTCTCCATTTTATCATCATAAGAACGGCCATATTGGGTCAGACCAACGGTCCATCCAGCCCAGTATCCGGTCTGCTGACAGTGGCCAATACCAGATGCCCCAGAGGGAGGTAACACAACAGGTAGTTAATCCTCAAGTGATCTCTCCCCCATCACCCACCTCCAGAGAAACAGACTAGGGACACCATTCCTTCCCATCCTGGCTAATAGCCATTGATGGACCTAACCACCATGAATTTATCTAGGTTTGTTTTTTTTTACCCTGTTGAAATCCTAGCCTTCACCACATCCTCTGACAAGGACGTCCAGAGGCTAATCATGCGCTGAGTGAAGAAAAACTTCCTTTTGTTTGTTTTAAATCTGCTGCCTATTCATTTCATTTGGTGACCCCCTAGTTCCTATATTGTGGGAAAAAGTAATTAACTTTCCTTATTCACTTTTTCCACATCCATCATGATTTTATAGATCTCTATCATATCCCTGCTTCGTCTTCTCTTTTCTAAGCTGAAAAGTCCAAATCTTTTTAATCTCTCTTCATATGGGACCTGTTCCAAACCCCTCATCATTTTTGTTGCCCTTTTCTGAACCTTTTCCAATGCCAATATATCTTTTTTGGGCTAAAGCGACCACATCTGTATGCAATATTCAAGATGTGGGCATACAATGATTTTAAATAGAGGTATTAAGATATTTTCTGTCTTATTCTTTATCCCTTTTTAAATTATTCCTAACATTCTATTTGCTTTTTTGACTGCCGCTGCACACTGAGTGGATGTTTTCAGTGAACTATCCACAATGACTCCAAGATCTTTCCCTTGAGCAGATGTAGCTAAATTAGTCCCCATCATATTGTATATATAGTTGGAATTATGTTTTCCAATGTGCACTACTTTACATATATCAACATTAAACTTTATCTGCCATTTTGTGGCCCAATCACTTAGTTTGGTGAGATCTTTTTGAAGCTCTTCACAGTCTGCTTCAGTCTTAACTATCTTGAGCAGTTCAGTATCATCTGCAAATTTTGCCACCCCAATGTTTATCCCTTTCCCTAGAACATTTATAAATAAGTTGAAAGGATTGGTCCCAGTATGGACCCTTGGGGCACACCATTTGCCTTTCAGAAAACATACCATTTATTCCTACCCTTTGTTTCCTGTCTTAACCAGTTCTCAGTCCATGAAAGGATCTTCCCTCTCATCCTATAACAACTTACTTTTCTTAAGAGCCTTTGGTGACGGACTGGTCAGAGGCTTTCTGGAAATCTAAGTACACTATGTTCATTAGATCCCCCTTGTCCACATGCTTGTTGACCTCTCTCAAAGAACTGTAGTCGATTAGTAAGGCATGATTTCCCTTTACAGACACCATGTTGACTTTCCCCCAACAAATTATGTTCATTTATGTGTCTGACAATTTTATTCTTTACTACAGATTCAACTAATTTGCCCAGTACTGACGTTAGACTTACCAGTCTGTAATTGCCAGGATCACCTCTAGAGTCCTCTGTGTTATGTTAGCTATCTTCCAGTCATTAGGTATGGAAGCTGATTTAAAGGCTAGGTTACAAACCACAGGTAATAATTCTGTAATATCCCATCTGAGTTCTTTCAGAACTCTTGGCTGAAAGCCATCTGGTCCAGGAGACTTGTTACTGTTAAGTTTATCAATTTGTTTCAAAACCTTCTCTAATGACACCTCAATCTGGGACAATTCCTCTGATTTGTAACCAACAAAGAATGGCTCAGGTTTGGGAATCTCCCCAATATCCTCAGCCATGAAGACTGAAGAAAGGAATTCATTTAGCTTCTTCGCAATGACTATCATCTTTGAGTGCTCCTTTAGCATCTCGATCATTAAAGGGGCCCCACTGGTTGTTTAGCCAGCTTCCTGCTTCTGATCTACTTAAACATTTTGCTATTACTTTTTGAATTTTTGGCTAACTGCCCTTCAAACTCCTTTTTGGCTTTTCTTATTATACTAGCCAATTAGCTTGTCATAAAACAGAATTTTCAGATCTTCTCTCCTGAGCACGCTCTCTCTTTCTCCTCCTACTGCCTCCCCCTCTCTCTCTCAGCTCTTCTCCGCCCACGCCTCTCTCTCCATCTCTTTCTTTCTTTTCTCCCCCTCCTGCCTCTCACTCTCCCTTTCTCTTCTCCTCCTGCCTCTCTCTCCCCTCCGTCTCTCCCTGCCCCCCTTCCCCTTCCATCGTGGCATTCAGCTGAGTGCTGCCTGCTCAGCTGGGCTCCCCCGCGGCGGGAGGAGAAGGGGGGGGCGAGACGGTGACGTGACATACACGGCCCTTCCCCCTGGCCATGTACGTCACCGCCTCGCCCCCTTCCCCTCCCGCCGTGGCGCTGAGTGCTGTGCTCCTCAGCCGGGCCACCGCAGGCGAGGGAAAGGGGGGGGCGGTGATGTACACAGCCAGGGGGCGGGGCAGTGTACATCACCGCCCCCCCCTTTCCCTCGCCTGCGGTGGCCCGGCTGAGGAGCACAGCACTCAGCGCCACGGCGGGAGGGGAAGGGGGGTGCTGACGTACACGGCCGGAGGCTCTTAAGACTCTCAGACACTGGGCTACTATTTCTTATGTTATTTTTACACTTAATTTGACAAAGTTTATGCTCCTTTCTATTTTCGTCACTAGGATTTGACTTCCACTTTTTAAAATATGTCTTTATCTGCCATTGTTTCTTTCATTTTGTGGTTAAACCACGGTGGCACTTCTTTGATTCTCTTACTGTGTTTTTTAATTTGGAGTATACACTTAAGTTGGGCATCTATTATGGTGTCTTTGAAAAGTTTCCATGCAGCTTGCAGAGATTTTACTTTTGTCACTTTACCTTTTAAATTCTGTTTAACTATCTTCCTCATTTTTGTGTAGTTCCCCTTTCTGAAATTAAATGCCAGAGTGTTGGGCTGCTGAGGTGTTTTTCCCACCACAGGGTTGTTAAATTTTATTACATTATGGTCACTATTTCCAAGTGGTCCTGTTATATATTTACCTCTTGGACCAGATACTGCGCTCTCCTTAGGACTAAATCAAGAATAGCTTCTCCCCTTGTGGGTTCCAGAACCAGTTGCTCCAAGAAGCAGTCATTTTAAGATAAGAAATTTTATCTCTGCATCCCGTTCAGAGGTGACATGTACCCAGTCAATGTGGAGATAGTTGAAATCCCCCCACCATTATTGAGTTTTTAATTCTGATAACCTCTCATATCTCCCTTAGCATTTCATAGTCACTATCACTGTCCTGATCAGGTTGTGATATCCCTCCATCCACCCTGGGAGTGACCAGACAACCAACACAGGCTGCCTGAGGGATGGACCTGGCTCCTGAATTAGGAAAGCAGGATTAAGGACCCTCTGAAGGTAGGAAGGTGGGGTCTGGAGTGGAATAGGGGATACAGCACTTGCCTGGGAGCACAGGGTGGTGGGCTCAAGACCTGCCCACCCGGGAGCAGGAGCTCCCATGTTCGGAGGATGGAGTTGAGTCCATCCCTGGGGCAGCCTGTATTGGATGGAGCGGGCTCCCATATTAGGAAAGCAGGATAAAAGACCCTCTGACTGTAGGGAGCTAGAATGGCTTAGGAGATAGGGCATTTGCCTGGGGAACACAGAGTGGTGGGTTCAAGTCCCACCTCCACCCACGCTGGGAGTGGCCAGACAGCCAACACAGGATAAGGGACCCTCTGAAGGTAAGGAGTTGGTGTGGGCTCTTGAGTTAACAAAGGGGCAACAGCCTCTGGAACGCGGGGTGGGGAGGGACTTGATCCCTCCGGCTAGGCAGGGATCCCCAGGGATAAAGCTGGCTCCCACATAAGGAAAGCAGGATTAAGGGACCAGCTGAAGGTAAGGAGGGGTTCTGGAGTGGCCTAGGGTATACAGTATTTGCCTGGGGAGTGCAGGGTGGTGAGCTCAAGTCCCAGAGATGAGAGGAAAGGACAGTGTTTGTGAGAATGACAGACACACAGTGTAAGAGTAACAGATTTGCATTGCCAAACTCCCTCCATTCTCCTCTCACTGAGTGGGCAAGCAAGGGGCAGTGCCAAGGCAGAGGGCAGGAGCAGCATTACAGTAGGTGGAGAGGCAACTGAAGTGACAGTACTTGATAGCTTCCCTGCCAAACCAGGATCACCTGTCAGAGGGCTCCAAAATCTACTGGTAGATCCCACTCTACTGGTTGGTGACCACTGATTTAACACCACTTAGAAATTGTTAAATGACAGCTTTAACACCACTTAGAAATTGTTAAATGACAGCTTTCAGTCACAACCAGACAATAGAATTTTGTATCCGATTACCAATACTTCCAAACCATCCAATTTTTCTACAATACACATCACTTCCAGCTTATACAGTAACATTCACAATCAAGAATCGGAACATATTCAAAGAATCAAGTTACATATTCACTGGATAAACAACAATTGGAAGGGCTTATTATAATAACATTTATTATTTTTTAAAAATCTGGGCTGCTAGCAAATGTCCACACTTTCGATTTTTGAAGACCAGGTAGTGACACACTTCACTGTGTATTAGTACTGAACTAATGCTGTACCACTGTTAACAGTAACACGTCAAGTGACATTTTTTGGATGAGATCTAAACAGATCCCCTGTGACCATTAAGTTCTGAGGACATCTTCATCTGTATTACTGGGATGCTTAATCCAGTGAATGGTTTACCAGATAACTGGTAAGTATCAGCTTTTATCGAGTGATGCTTACCGGTTCTGGTTAACTGGTGGGTGCTGGAGCAAGCCCTGTCCATGGTGGGCCCAGATGCGCCACAGGCAGGGGCTGCTCTGGCTGGGCTGGAGAAGCCTCCCTGTGCCACCTGCCCACCCTTCAAGTGGTTAGCTTGTTAAACATTATATTTAAGTGGTTAACCAATTAAACAGGATTTTACATCCCTGCTGCGATGTTAACTCAGTCCCAAATTTTGGCAATTACATTCTATCTACCCCAAAATACCTCTGATAGAGTACTATCCACTATTCTAACTATATAGTGGTCCTTCATGCTTTTAAACAGTTACTATATTCTACTCCAAAAGGTAGGTAAAGCAACTTCCAAACATGAGTTTGCAAAATCCTCAAGGACCCTCATATACAAAAGGTACCACAAGTCTCATTATATAGATGGTAAGTTCTTGGCAGTCCTTAGATGGTACCTTTATTTGCCAGAAGCTGGGCATGAGTGACAGGGAAAGAATCACTTGATGATCACCTGTTCTGTTCATTCTCTCCGGGGCTCTGTTGGAAGACAGGATACTGGACAGGATGGACCTTTGGTCTGACCTAGTATGGCCATGGTCCTAAGTTCTAGAAAGGGTGCAGTCCCTTTGAGAGGCAATGGTACTTACGAAGCTTTGATGAGCAGTTTTTCCCTCTCCTGCAGGTCACGTTTCAAACTTTCTACCTCAACCTTTAGCTCTATATTCTACAAGACAAAGTTAGATGATGAGATGACACACAACCCAATGCAACTCAAAGTTAATCCTACACATTGATTACATTTTTAGGTTATAGGCAATAACAAATTCAAAAACAAATTAGGTCCAGAGCATGATGGAAATGGGAACTTACTTCTGATTCTTTGCCTTCAAAAGAGTCTTTATTTTACAAGACTTCAAATAGTTTTAAAAGACACCAGAGTTTCTTAAAAATCATATATTTGATCATCACAATAAATAAGTCACACAACAATGTTAAAGACTGCGAGCTCCTCACCATATTTCCAAGAAAAATTGCCATTTTTCAAACAGATCAAAGCAGTTACCTGGAGCTGTTCACAGCCATACAAGTAGTTTTGCCCACCTAAAATATTTAGGGTATGTCTACACTTTATTAAATTAACTTACAGCCACGGCAATAATTACTGTGTTAGTACATGTCCACATTGGGAATGTGAAAGTGTAACTGTGTATACCAGGGTGGGCAATATTTTTGAAGCAAGGACAGTTCACAAATTTCGGAAGTGGCCGCAGGCCGACTCAGAAGGATGGGGCCCTGGGAGGAAGGGGCGGGGTTGAGAGTTACCCTACCAGGAGCTTTGCTTGGCCTGGGTCCCTGCCCCCTGACTTCTAGCCAATAGAAGGGACCTGGAGCAGAGGGGAGGGTGCTGGGGGCTAGCCTCCCACAGTTGTCTGGGGTAGAGGCTTAGAATTCACATAACACAGCTGGCAGCTCCTGGCCCCGCTGCTAATCTGTTGCCTGGCATGCATAAGCCCAAAGAATAGAAGCAGTTGAAAGGGCTTGTGCCTCCCGGGTAACTTGCAGGCAACAGGCCAGTGGGACCAAGAGCTGCGAGCCCTTTCAACTGCTACTATTTAAAGACCTCACATATTCCCTGTGGCTGCCAGGCAATGTGTTGCCCAACAGGCACAGGGAAGACATGAGCCCTTTAAATAGAACCAGTTAAAAGGGCTTGTAGCTCCGGTGCTGTTAGCACGTTGCTAGGGAGCCAGAGATATGCGACCCCTTTCAATTGCTTCTATTTAAAGTGCTCTCACCTTCCCTGCACCTGGTACACAAGGTGCAGCAAAAATGCGAGCCCTTTAAACAGAAGCAGTTGAAAGGGGTTGTGTGTCTCTGGCTCCCAGGCAATGCACTGGGGGTAGGACCTGGAACTGCCTCGCAGGCCGGATCAAAGTTCTAGGAGGACTGGATCTGGCCCACTGAGAAGCTTTGCCCACCCCTGGTGCATAATGTTAATCGATGAGCACAGGCACTCATCTTATAGGGACCGTTACTGCACCCGTTCCCAGCAGGCTCCCATTCTTCACCTTCCTGGTCCCTTCTAGGAATGGGGTGAGGGAGAGAGAAGCCACCAGAGTAACGGTCCCTATAAGATGAGCGCTTGGATGGCCATTAAGAAGAGATTCAAGTGCCATCCATCTGATTAGCAGAGCTCCCACAGCATGTTTCTCTCCTGGTGGTGCACATCTAAATATGTCTCTGTGCACATAACAAAATATGTTCTACACATGGATGGAAACAAAATCAGTGGAAACGTTGCACCTGAGGCTTTTCACCCACTCCTCACCACACCGGCTCCCAAATGGGAACAGAGTCCAAAGCCAGTGAGCTCTCCAACGAAGAAGGGGCTTTCTTGTCAATTTCATGTCTCTTGTAAATAGCATAGCAAGAAAAATAACATTCAGAAGATGTAATTCTGACATTCACATAGTGTATGCAGCTGACTTGAAATTTCATCTTCTACCTGCTAGGACTGGTCTGGGAAGTTTCACTGAATGCTAACCATTGGTGACATAACTGAACGAGAAAAACTCGAATAATCACGGTGACAAGTAATTTAAATTAAGATTTCAGAGGAGAAGAAAGCTCAGATTTATTGTTCGAGTAATATAATTGTTCATTAGCTAGTACTGAAAAATTGAATTTAATCTTTCATTTTGTATTAAGGTTATTTTAATCACTTTACTATTGCATATAATTAGACAGAAGTGAAAAGAACTGGCAATACTGAAATTTCCAACAAAGGCTGAATATCAAGTGATTTAGAAATTTTAAGATAGCAAATATTGTTTGGAAAGATACACAGTTACTTGCAATGATTTTAAATACCTACAATTTTGTAGATGTCTTCAGTGGGACCATCAAATTTCTGCTGCATTCGCTCCTCCAGAAAATATATACGAAGCTTTAGGTTGAAGTTCTCTTTTTTCAAGTCAGTTATTTGCTGTTAAAGAAGAGAAATAAGTAAACTATACCACATTTCACAAGTAAAATTGATATTGTATTTGCTTTTGTTCCTCACAGCACAAAAGGTAAATAAAAAGTTTTAAAAAAAAAATCACACATTAACAGACCATGAAGATATGGGACATTAATAAAAGGTCCCTACTTAAAGTCATCTACCAGTGGAAGTGGATAAAGTCATCTTGACACCATCCTTGAAAAAAATAATCATAAGACCATTTGTTCAGGAACTCTTCCTAAATCGTAAAAACTAGATGAAGAAAGATGTGGAAAAATTGGAGAAGGTCCAGAGAAGAGAAACATGATTAAAGATGTAGAATATATAAGCTGTGAGGGAAGACTAAAAGAACTGGGCTTGTTTAGTATGGAAAAAAGAGAAGACAGAGGGGACATGACCGTGGTTTTCAAGTATCTAAAAGAGTATCACAAGGAGAAGGAAGGCAAATTGTTCTTCTTGGCCTCTGAAGATAGGACAAGAAGCAATAGGCTTAAATTGCAGCAAGGGAAGTTTAGGTTGGACATTAGGAAAAACTTCCTAACTGTCAGAGTGGTTAAACACTGGAATAAATGGCCTACAAATGTTATGGAATCTTCATCTCTGGAGATATTTAAGAGCAGGTTAGATAGACATCTATCAGGGATGGTCTAGATCAGTGGTCCCCAACGCGGTGCCCAAAGGCTCCATGGCACCTGCCGGGGCATTTACGTGTGCCCACTTAGTTGGGTTCACGACGCAGGATGGCCAGGAGAAGACAGGCCGCACATGCTGAACTCGCGCTGTGACGGGGCGTTGAGAAGCGCTGGCAGCGGGAGAACCTGCTGGGGAGCGTGGCAGGGAGCTGTGGGAGCGGAGTGGCCGGTCCAGAGTGTCGAAATGGCTGCGGTGGTGGGTCTGGTGCCGGCGCAGGCGCACTTGGCACGGGGCCGGCCAGCCAGGAGATGCAGCAGGATGACATCACCCACCAGTGCGGCGCCCGCCACATAAAAAGGTTGGGGACCACTGGTCTAGATGGTGCTTGATCCTGCTGTGAGCACAGGGGACTGGACATGATGACCTCTCAAGATCCCTTCCCGTTCTAGTGTCCTATGATAACAAGGGCCAACAAATTTTGGTAAGAACAATAGGAAGCTACAAACTTAAAGCAAGATCAGGGTTTGGTTGTGCCAGGAGAACCGTAAGTTCTACGAGAAGGACTTCCATAACTTGGAAAAGGAGGGGTTGCTGTGCCAAAGAATGTGATATGAGAAAGGCCACTGGGGGCAGTGAGCCGGCAGGGGACAGCTATCCTGCAGAGTGTACGCTGGAGGCAGCCGCACCACCAAGGAAGTGGCCAGCAGGGCTGGGTCTCCTCCATCTTCTCTGCAAGCACAAGGGTAAGTAGCTCCCCTTCCCTCAGCATATTAAATAATCGTTTCATTAAAGAGAAAGTCTCCTTTTAAATTTTTTAGGCACCCAAAAATGGAACATTCAAATAAAACACATCTCCTGCCAGCCCAGAAAGTATGTAACTGAACTACTAATAAAATATTTACATAGGCTTCTCTAGAACAACACCTGACCAGGATAATGATAGCAACTATGAAATGCTAAGGGGGATTACAGAGGCTATAAATATAAAAAACTCAATAATAAGGGGGGATTTCAACTATCCCCATACTGACAGGGTATACGTAACCTCAAGATGGGATGCAAAGATAAAGTTTCTTGACACTTTAAATGACTGCTTTTTGGACCCACAAGAGGAGAGGCAATTCTGATTTAGTCTTAAACGGAGCACAGGATCTGGTCCAAGAGATAAATATAACTGGACCACTTGGAAATAGCGATTTAAATGTAATAAAATGAAAAATCCCTGTCGTGGGAAAAACACTGTGGCATTTAATTTCAGAAAGGGGAACTACACAAAATAGAGGTTATTTAAACAGAAATTAAAATATACAGTGCCAAAAGTAAATCCCTGCATTGCAAGGAAACTTTTCTAAGACACCATAATAGAGACCCAACTTAAATGTCTACCCCAAATTTAAAACAAACAAAACAAAACACCCCACACACAGTAAGAAAAGGACAAACCAGGGAACTACAGAGGGGTCAACCTCACGTCAATCTCCGGAGAAATCATGGAGAGGATCGTCAAAGTGTTCATTTTGAAGCACTTGGAAGAAAGGAAACTTTCAGGAATAGTCAGCATGGATTCACCAAAGACAAGTCATATCTCACCAAACTGATTGCCTTCTATGATGAGATAACTGACTCTATGGACATGGGGAAATCAGTGGATGGGATATACCCTGTAGTTAGCAAAGCTTTTGATATGGTCTCCCACATAATTCTTGCCAGCAAATTAAGGAAAGATGGATTGGAAAAATGAACTGTAACTTGGACAGAAAGCTGGCTAGACTGTCAAGCTCAACAGATAGTGATCAACAGCTCGATGCCTGGTTGGCGATTGGTTTCAAACAGAGTGCCCCAACGATCGGTTCTAAGGCCGGTTTTGTTCAACATCTTTATTAATTACCTGGAAAAGGAGATGGATTACACCCTCAGCAATTTTGCAGATGGCACTAAACTAGGGAGAGACGTAGGTATGCTGGAGGATAAAGATAGGGTCCAGAGTGATGTAGACAAACTGGAGGATTGGGCCAAAAGAAATCTGATAAGATTCAACAAGGACAAGTGCAGAGTACTGCACTTGGGACGGAAGAATCTAAGCATTGTTACAGGCTGGGGACAGACAGGCCCAGCAGCAATTTGGCACAAAAGGATCTGGGGATTACAGTGGATGAGAAGCTGGATACAAGTCAACAGTGTGTCCTTGCAGCCAAGAAAGCTGATGGCATATAAGGGTGCAATAGGAGGAATATTTCCTGCAGATCTAGAGAAGTGATTATTCCGCTTTATTCAGCACTGGTGGCACCACGTCTGGAGTATTGTGTCCAGTTCTCGGTCCCTGCATTACAGAAAGGATGTTTCCACATTGGAAAAGAGCAACGTAGGACAACCAAAATGATTAGGGGGCTGGAACACATGACCTATCAGGAGAGGCTGAGGGATTTGGGCTTATTCAGTCTACAGAAGAGAAGAGTGAGGGAGTATTTGATAGTAGCCTTTAACTACCTGAAGGGGATTTCCAAAGAGGATGGGGAGAGGCTGTTCTCCGTAGTGACAGATGGCAGAATGAGGAGCAATGGTCTTAAGTTGCAGTGGGGGTGGAGTGGGGAGCTCTAGGCTGGATATTAGGAAAAAAAAATTCATTGGGAGGATGTGGAAGCACTGGGATGGGTTATCCAGAGAGAAGGAATCTTCATCCCTAGAGATGTTTAAATCCTAGCTTGTTAAAGCCCTGGCTGTGATGATTTAGTTGGGATTCGACTTGCTTTGGGCAGGGGGCTGGACTCAATGGCCTCCTGAGGTCTCTTCCAGCCCTATGATTCTAACTCAAAAAATACCACCGTGGCTTAATCACCAAGTGAAAGAAAAAGTTAAATCCTAGAGAGAAAAATAGAAAGGAGCATAAACTCTGTCAAAATAAGCAGAGCTCAACAAACTATAGAACCTACTCGCCCAAGGCGAGTAGATTTCAGCCATGTGTCCTGTTTACCTGCGGCACGCGCATATGCAATGTGGCTCTTGCGCATGCGCAGTGTGGGGCTAGCGAGTGGCTTTTGCTGCTATTTGTCAAGCCCTGAAAATAAATGCAAAAAATTATAAGGAAAGCCAAAAAGGAGTTTGAAGACCAGCTAGCCAACAACTCAAGAAGTAATAGTAAAATGTTTTTAAAGTACATCAGAACAGTAAGCATGCTCAACAACCAGTAGGGCCACTGAACAATCGAGATGCTAAAAGAGCACTAAAAGATAAAAAGGTAATTATGGAGAAACTAAATACATTCTTTGCTTCACTGTTTACAGCTGAGGATGTTAGGGAGATTCCCAAACCGGAGCCATTCTTTCTCAGAGGCAAATCTGACCCAGATTGAGGTGTCATTACAGGAGGTTTTGGAACAAATTGATAAACTTAACAGTAACAAATCACCGGGACCAGATGGCATTCACCCACGAGTTCCGAAAAACCTCAACTGTGAAATAGTGGAACTATTAACTTTGGTCTATAACCTATCCTTTAAATCAGCTTCTGTACCTAATGACTGGAAAATAGCTAATGTGACTCCAATATTTAAAAAGGGCTCTAGCAATTACAGACTGGTAAGTCTAACGTCAGTACCAGGCCAATTAGTTAAAACTACAGTAAAGAACAGAGTTGTCAGACGCATGTATGAACATAATTTGTGGAGAAAAGTCAACATGGTTTCTTTAAAGGGAAATCATACCGTACTAATCTACTACAGTTCTTTGAGGGAGGTCAACAAGCATGTGAACAAGGGGGATCCAATGAAAATAGTGTACTTAGATTTCCAGAAAACCTCTGGCCAGTCCCTCACCAAAGACTCTTAAAAGTAAGTTGTCATGGGATGAGAGGGAATGTCCTCTCATGGACTGATAACTGGTTAAAAGACAGGAAACAAAGGGTAGGAATAAATGGTATGTTTTCAGAAAGGCAAGTGGTGTCCCCCAAGGGTCCATACTGGGACCAAGCCTTTCAACTAATTTATAAATGTTCTAGAGAAAGGGATAAACAGTGAGGTGGCAAAATTTGCAGATGATACTGAACTGCTCAAGATAGTTAAAACGAAGCAGACTGTGAAGAGCTTCAAAAAGATCTCACCAAACTTAGTGATTGGGCAACAAAATAGCAAATGAATTTTAAAGTTGATAAATGCAAAGTATCAGGGGGTAGCCGTGTTAGTCCGAATCTTCAAAAGCGGCGAGGAGTCCTGTGGCACCTTATAGACTAACTGAAGTGTTGGAGCATAAGCTTTCGTGGGCAAAGACCCACTTCGTTAGATGCATCTGACGAAGTGGGTCTTTGTCCATGAAAGCTTATGCTCCAACACTTCAGTTAGTCTATAAGGTGCCACA